TGTTCGTACTTGCCTTTGGAGTGTTTTAAAGCAGTGGGTAACCTGTCTATCTTTTCAGCTTGGATGACAGTGAGGGTCACCTGTCAATCAACGAAAAGAACAGGAGACGGACTAACGTCCTCGATACGTCCCATTTTGGATCTAATTACCTGTGCACCTGTATGAAATTGCAGGACGTAACCCCACAGCATTGCAGCGGTAAAGAACCTGCTTTCCTGTCATCGGGATACTACTCGAGGCTCTATCTACTGTGAAGAACTAGCCAGTGGGTCGTAATCAACACCTGCGACCCCCCTCATCATCAGCAACGGCTACGATTTCAACAACAGTGTCACCAACACCAGACACCCCTATCTACATTAGCGTTGAATTCAGTTATCATTTATATTTTTCATTTTTCATTTTCTTTAATGTAGGATTAATATTTCATATTTAAGTGTTTTACATTTTATATTTTCTATATAATAAAGTATTTATGTTTGTCTGTTATTATTTCTTTTTCTATTCACAAATTTTTCCCCCGGGGAGGAGCCAGCCTTGGTAATACTGCCCTGAAGTTGTTACAGGGCTGAGTAAGCCTTCACAAATATATAATGGAATTACCCAGAAACTGCAATTAAATCTGTCCCAGATTTCCACTTCGATGACTTCATGGGACTGAGCAATTACCTGGGTGGGCTAAATTGGGAAGGCCTTACTATGGGTGAGGTAGGTAGGGTTGGTTGCCAATATGACGTATTTCAGAGCATAGCACTAGCTGCCCGGGAACAACTTTTGTTCCAAGTAAGGAAATTAGATCTAACGAAAATTATTCCAAATGGATGAACAATAGATTAAAAATTTTATTGGTCAATAAGAACTATGCTTGGGGCCCCCCATCGGGACCAACACAGTACCTCTCAGATCTGAGGCCCATTTCTTTCCCTGGCTGACAGAGTAAGATACAAAAAGCCTACAAATAGCCACGATTCTGCCCCGGGCAGCAAGGTACTCCACTAAGAGACGGATAATTGCCCAAACCCATGACAAAAGATCCAACTCTCTCATAGATTACTCCTGGATCTTTTCGTTTTGTGCTGCTGGGCGGAAGCTGCTGCTATACAATACCCTTGAGAAGAGTTGTGACCTTTCCTGTGATGGGTATCATCCACCACCTCCCTGGTGCCCAGATCCGGCCGAGGGTGTGTATCTCAAGCGTCTCTGCATCTTGTCTCAGCAATCATGCTGAGACAAGCATTGGCACCGACAGAGGACGCACATCTGCAGTGTATTTTCACAGATGGTTCTGTCGACCCCTGACAGGAAGGAGCAGCAGCTGAACTGAACCACAATGGTCACACCACAAGGCAAGCGAATCCCTGACCACTGCACAATGCCTTAAGCTGAGCTGGTGGCGATTCAGCAGGCTTTGGTCACATGCCTATGAAAATCGACTCCGACCTGTCATACATGTTGACTCCACCTCTGCAATTAATCCCCCTCTCCCATCCTCAACCAAGGAAATGTTCACCTCATCACATCGACCCTGAGCATAATGACAGCCTTAGAGGTTCAGGGTAAATATCGACTTGAGTTGGATCCCAGCCATGCGGCATCCGGGGAAATGACAGAAACTGTTCCAGAGCGCAGTGTACCGCCATCCATCGGCTTCGTTTGGGGTTTCCCACAGCCAAGTAATGATAGATAGGCTGAGGGGGAGATGTGCCAGTACTGCCAGCGCGTTGTCCAGGCCCTCTAAAACACTGTCTTTGGAGTGCGAAGTTACTGAGACACTCCGTAGGCAACAGCACTGATATCCCCTCCCAAAGAGGACCCAGAGATGACTGCGGCCACACTATTGTACCATGGGGTCAACGAACCAAAGAAGCTGTTGCCCGTGATAACGACATATCCCTCCCTCGCTAGTGTCCACAGTTAGGTCAAAGGATTGGTTTAAGCTGGTGGGGAATTGAACCTGTCCTGCATTGGCCAGTATTTCCTCCTGCAGTGGTAGTTCTTTCTTTTTCTTAAGTGCTAAACCTTTAAGAGTCATTTCAGTAAGTGGTAGTTTAATAATTTTTGATCTGAGGAAAGGTAAAATTGCTTCAAGAACCTTTTACTGGTATCTTTCCTCTACCCTAAAATTATTTTTATTTTTAACTGTAAATTCTTTAAGAAAATTACTAAAATAACATTTTATATATTAAATATTCATTTCAAACCCGTATGAAGGGAAAATAACTTCTAACTCCTAGGAACAAATGATTTAACCATTATAACCCATGGAGACCGACAGTTTTTCAAGACATATCTAATGTATGTTTAACCCAGATCACACATCTTCATTTCATGCAGGAATCCAACACCTGATGACTCTCTAAATATAGTGTGGGAAGCTGCACGTCCAGACAAAACCTCCCTCACTTTTTCTCTCACACTGACGCCCACCATGAAGGCAGACTATAGGCACAAGGTATTCTATTGTCCGCTTGTCGCATATTCCTTGTGTAAAAAATCAGTAAAATCTTTGTGTATCTGAATGGAAAGACTGTCAACCCTATATATGAAGCAAAGAGCTGCCGGAAAACTATATTTTCTGACATAATGTTATGAATATGCTTACTTTGTCATTTCAAAATAAAAAAAAAATTACAGTGAAGAGGAATAATACAAACCATACCACGGGCGGGGATAGAACCCTTTGAACTCTGATCACGGGTTTTCTTCCCCCCACCGTGGTATGATTTGTTTGCAATCATGCCATTACATTTTGTGAGTTAACGGCTTTGAGGGGACTTGAGCTAGAGTTCGTCACGGCCACGCTAGCTGGAGATTCGTCTGTAAAAACTTGCATTTGTGGTCACAGTGGTGCCTATGCTAACCTTCCTATGGTGTAGAAATATACCTAGTTGGACGAATCTTATTGTGGCTAGATGGTCCAGTGGCTAACGCGACGATCTGGAGTTTTAAGACTCTCTGATCGCGGGTTCTATCCCCGCCCGTGGTATGGTTTGTTTGCAATCGTGTCATTACGATTTCGTGAGTCAAGATATACAAACTTTCATCGAGTCAAAATTTCGGTTTGAGAGTATTATTGGGACAACATTTTGCTCTGAAGAGAGCCCCATAAGGAAAACCTTTATATCTAAATGAAGCTTTATTAAAATGTTCTTAGAACAACTTATTGCTCACAAAAAGGCTCATTATTCTACGTACCTTTTTATTTTTATTTGTGGAAGTGTGCCTTTTAAAATCATAAAAATGTTGAAAAAATCTAATGCTATTTTAAGTTAGGTAACATGAAGCCAACACAGCTTTATTTCAGATTAATGTTTCATATATTTTGAGTCTTATTGCATTATTTATGTAAACAGGTTCGTGCTTTCTGGGAGTCACTGCCACTTAAACAGAACTTGCTGCTTCACTCAGAGAAATTTAAACTCTCAGAACCTAAAGCTGAACTTGAGGAAATTAAAGAAGATTTGGATCAAGAGATGCCACTTCAAATGGAAAATGAACCAAAAATATCTGCTGCACGGAACGAGTTGTAATCTTGACATAATGAAAACTACTTATCCACTTGGTTGGAATACTGACTTCCAATCCTGATACGGAATGATTATCTTCATAGTTTTATCATAGGTTTATTATTGTACACAAATTGGTGTGGTATAGAGTCAATAGATTACAGAGGCATATTGTAACCAGGTACTGAACTAAATTGTATTGGGAGTGAACAACTTTCAGCATTATATGTACCAGTTACTGATACCCAGGTACTGGGTTAACTTTTCTTGGGCGTGGTATGTTAATCAGATCTCATCTAGAATAGCCGAATAAAAATAAATAATGTTTCATTATAATGGATGTAACAGGCTTCTAATGACAAAAACAATGTCTGAGAATCCTAACTAATGTAAACTGTTTGTTTGGTGTTGCTGCTGCGGGATACAATGTGGTCACCAGTATGTGATCTTTGGTGTTGCTGCTGTGGGATACAATGTGGTCACCAGTATGTGATCTTTGGTGTTGCTGCTGCAGGATACAATGTGGTCACCAGTATGTGATCTTTGGTGTTGCTGCTGCGGGATACAATGTGGTCACCAGTATGTGATCTTTGGTGTTGCTGCTGCGGGATACAATGTGGTCACCTTTATATTTTACCTAGTTAACAATATCAAGTTTTTTTCGTTCAATGCTACTTATTGTATTTAGTATATATACTGTTCTTTACATTTGCTTACCCAACATTTTGTACATCATTACTGTACCACAAGTATTCTTGCATACAGCATATTCAGTTATATTTTTCGATAGACAGTATATATTTTTTGCTTCCTGTTTTAAAATTACTTTTTTCCTCTGCAGTTTTTTATTGTTATTTTACCATATACTCGTGTAACATTAATATATACCCTGAACCTTATCTCTAGATAAGATACTGCCTAAGCTATCTCTGTTTGATCTCTTGACATCTTGTAGAGATGGTGAAAATATTTTGTTTATTCTTGCCAAGAATCCAGAAACAATCCTTAGTGTATGAGTGAGGGAGTGTCCCTGGGGTCTGTTTCTCAAAAGTTAAGGAATGAGGTAATTCATCTGTCTAAATCCGAAATGCGATAAGTCATCATTCAGAACTGATGGTAAATTGTATATATGATGGCCTGACAAAGATGTGCGGTTAATATAATATTTATTGACCCTGTGTTTCCATTGCCAGGGCTTTAGTCATACCTCAGCAAATTGTCTCAGAAGTATAATCTACCAAGCTGAAAGATTTTTGTAATAGTGATGATCTAGAAATTGCGATAATAAAAACTTCTTTCCGTTATGCAAACTGTTCCTCCAGAGATGTTCCTCAAGGTGCTATTCTCCACTGCCTCTACTTCAGACTGTCTGGAGATGGTACTGTAATGTCACAAATTAATAAAAATTGCTGTTTTCCAATGGTTTCCTGAAGCTATTCAAAACTCGTGGAGGTAACATAATTGAATATCTGTTCAATGAGAAATCACATTAAGCATGCTAATGAAGTTCTAAATGAGTTGTGTCTTGATATTTTATGTCTGATGGAAAATTGGCTGTTAGAGTCTAATATATCAGTTATTACCGATTTTTTGCCCAGGTTCCATTATTACCTTCTTCTTGATATGTTTGGACCTTTTATATCTGACTGGAGACAGTTTCTAAGAATTGCTGACGACATTTTTCGTCTGACTAGAAGCCTCGTGCTGTTGAGGTGAAATCATTTGTAGAAAGAAACATTTTGTATAAAACTCCTAAACTCTGTAACAATTTGCCAGTGTCTCTTAATATTCAGGAAATTGTTCATGCTTCTAAGTTTAAATTGAAAGGATGTTTCTGCTGATCATTCTCTCACATTGGTATATACATTTTCACATTCTTCTTGATTGTTATTGTTCTACTTATGGTTTTGTGTACGAACGATTGTGAACTTCTTGAAAGAGCAAGCTCTAATAAAATATAAAATCTAATTAATAATTAATATTATTAATATTTTTTCTCCCCATTTTTAACTATGGGGTCTCATTCTTTGAACACAATACAGGTCTCCCTAAACCTTCCCATTGGGTTGATACTGAGTGCCAAATAGAGCTATCACGTTAATATCCTCTCATGGGATGTGTCTTGATGTTAGTGACGTACTCTTGATGTCAGGTATTCTTGATACCAGTGAGATACTCTTGATATTAGTGAGGTACTCTTGATGACACTGACGCACTCTTAATCAAATAAATTATACCTTCCATCCCTTTCTTTAATCAAATATGATTACCTTTCATTCCCGCAGGTGCTGTATGATCCCTTCTGGTTAAATGTTCCTATAATAACGTTACCTAACCCATAAATTTTGTCTTAAATGATGATTAAATTGTCTTGGAAAAAGGGTTAAGAAATGGTAAGCAACCTTGACCTGTGTAATTGTGAGCGAGTCACTCAAATATAGTACATGAGTAAACAGTGAAAAATAATTGTTAATTAACTGAAAGGTATTATGAAATGAATAAAGATGTACGTCTAGAAATCTACCCATCAACCTTTTACCTACTAACACACAATCTAATAAAGTTCTGTCATGTTTCCACATATTGTTTATCCTAAGTTAGGGAAGATTTATCAGGGAACAGGACACGTGCTTCCTGATGCGGGTCTTAGGCATGACTTTTGATCATGTGATAGAGTTCCTCTGCTGGCTTTCTAATTTACCCCATTTAACAAGTAATATAGTTTGTTGCAATTATACTTATTTATATAGTGATATACATATTTTTATATATAATTGTCAACCGTTATGTAGTTTTGCTAAAAGACCGAATATGCTAGTGCTAGTCCTTTACATTTTGAATAATAGATGAATAAGACACTTTTGTAACACTTATGCAACACTTGTGCAACACTTGTGCAACATTTGTGTAAGACTTGTGCAACACCTGTGCAACATTTGTGTAAGACTTGTGCATCACTTGCGCAACACTTGTGTAAGACTTGTGCAACACTTGTGCAACACTTGCGTAACACTTGTGCAACACTTGTGCAACACTTGTGTAAGACTTTTGCAACACTTGTGCAACACTTGCGTAACACTTGTGCATCACTTGTGCAACACTTGTGTAAGATTTGTGCATCACTTGTGCAACATTGGTGTAAGACTTGTGCAACACTTGTGTAACACTTGTGCAACACTTGTGCAACACTTGAGCAACATTTGTAAAAGACTTGTGCAACACTTGTGCAACATTTGTGTAAGACTTGTGCAACACTTGGGGCAACACTTGCGTAACACTTGTGCAACACTTGTGCAACACTTGTGTAAGACTTTTGCATCACTAGTGCAACACTTGTGTAAGACTTGTGAAAACACTTGTGTAACACATTGCGCAACACTTGTGCAACACTTGTGCAACACTTGCGTAACACTTGTGTAACGCTTGAGTAACACTTGTGTAACACTTGTGCAACTCTTGTGTAACACTTGCGTAAGACTTGTGCAACACTTGTGCAACACTTGCGTAAGACTTGTGCATCACTTGTGCAACACTTGTGTAAGATTTGTGCATCACTTGTGCAACTTGGTGTAAGACTTGTGCAACACTTGTGTAACACTTGTGCAACACTTGTGCAACACTTGAGCAACATTTGTAAAAGACTTGTGCAACACTTGTGCAACATTTGTGTAAGACTTGTGCAACACTTGTGCAACATTTGTGTAACACTTGTGCAACACATGTGTAACACTTGTGCAACATTTGTGTAACACTTGTGCAACACTTGTGTAACACTTGTACAACACTTGTGCAACACGTGTGCAACACTTGCGCAACACTTGTGCAACACTTGTGTAACTCTTGTGCAACACTTGTGCAACACTTGTGCAACACTTTTGCAACACTTGTGCAACACTTGTGCAAGACTTGTGTAACACTTGTGCAACAAGAAATAAAAAAGGGAATTAGAAAAGCAAAAAGAGATTATGAGGTTAAAGTTGCAAGAGAATCGAAGACTAACCCAAAAGGATTCTTTCAGGTATACAGAAGTAAGATCAGGACAAGATAGGCCCACTCAAAAGTTCCTCGGGTCAGCTCACTGACAGTGATAAGGAAATGTGTAGAATTTTTAACACATACTTCCTCTCAGTTTTTACACAGGAGGATACCAGCGATATTCCAGTAATGATAAATTATGTAGAACAGGACGATAATAAACTGTGCACGATTAGGGTCACAAGTGACATGGTCCTTAGGCAAATAGATAAATTAAAACCTAACAAATCCCCAGGCCCTGATGAACTGTATGCAAGGGTTCTAAAGGAATGTAAAGAGGAGCTTAGCACACCTTTGGCCAATCTTTTCAACATATCACTACAAACTGGCATGGTGACAGATAAGTGGAAAATGGCAAATGTGATACCTATTTTCAAAGCAGTGTGACAGGTCCTTAGCTTCGAACTATGACCAATAAGCCTAACCTCCATTGTGGGAAAATTTATGGAATCAATAATTGCCGAGGCATTTCGTAGCCACCTTGAAAAGCATAAATTAATCAACGAATCTCAGCATGGTTTTACAAAGGGGCGTTCCTGCCTTACGAATTTATTAACTTTTTTCACTAAGGTATTTGAGGAGGTAGATCATGGTAATGAATATGATATTGTGTATGGACTTCAGTAAGGCTTTTGACAGGGTCCCACATCAGGACTATTGAGGAAAAATTAAGGCACATGGAATAGGAGGAGAAATTTTTTCCTGGATAAGGCATGGTTGACAAATAGGCAGCAGAGAGTTTGCATAAATGGGAGAAATCAGAGTGGGAAGCGTCACGAGCGGTGTTCCACAGGGGTCAGTGTTGGGTCCCCTGCTGTTCACAATCTACATAAACGACATAGATGAGGGCATAAAGAGCGACATCGGCAAGTTTGCCGAGGACACCAAAATAGGGCCGTCGAATTCATTCTGACGAGGACATTCGAGCACTCCAGGATAGATTTGAAATAGACTGATGCAGTGGTCGAGAAGTGGCAGATGCAGTTTAATATAGACAAATGCAAAGTTCTAAATGTTGGACAGGACAATAACCATGCCACATATAAACTAAATAATGTAGATCTTAATATTACGGATTGCGAAAAAGATTAGGAGTTCTGGTTAGCAGTAATCTGAAACCAATACAACAGTGCATAAGTGTTCGCAATAAAGCGAATAGAATCCTTGGCTTCATATCAAGAAGCATAAATAATAGGAGTCCTCAGGTTGTTCTTCAACTCTATACATACTTGGTTAGGCCTCATTTAGATTATGCTGCACAGTTTTGGTCACCGTATTACAGAATGGATATAAATTCACTGGAAAATGTACAAAGGAGGATGACAAAGTTGATCCCATGTATCAGAAACCTTCCGTATGAGGATAGACTAAGGGCCCTGAATCTGCACTCTCTAGAAAGACGTAGAATTAGGGGGGATATGATTGAGGTATATAAATGGAAGACAGGAATAAATAAAGGGGATGTAAATAGTGTGCTGAAAATATCTAGCCTAGACAGGACTCGCAGCAATGGTTTTAAGTTGGAAAAATTCAGATTCAGGAAGGACATAGGAAAGTACTGGTTTCGTAATAGAGTTGTGGATGAGAGGAACAAACTCCCGAGTACAGTTATAGAGGCCAGAAAGTTGTGTAGCTTTAAAAATAGGTTGGATAAATACATGAGTGGATGTGGGTGGGTGTGAGTTGGACCTGATAGCTTGTGCTACCAGGTCGGTTGCTGTGTTCCTCCTTTAAGTCAATGTGACCTGACCTGACTAGGTTGGGTGCACTGGTTTTAGCCGGTAGGAGACTTGGACCTGCCTCGCATAGGCCAGTAGGCCTTCTGCAGTGTTCCTCCGTTCTTGTGTTCTTATGTTCATAACACTTGTGCAACACTTGTGTAACACTTGTGCAACACTTGTGCATCATTTGTGTAAGATTTGTCCAACACTTGTGCAACATTTGTGCATCATTTGTGTAAGATTTGTGCAACACTTGTGCAACATTTGTGTAACACTTGTGCAACACTTGTGTAAGACTTGTGCATCACTTGCGCAACATTTGTGTAAAACTTGTGGAACACTTGTGCAACACTTGTGAAAGACTTGTGCAATACTTGTGCAACACTTGCGTGACACTTGTGCAACACTTGTGCAACACGTGTGCAACACTTGCGCAAAACTTTTGCAACACTTTTGCAACACTTGTGCAAGACTTGTGCAACACTTGTGCAATACGTGTGCAACACTTGTGCAACAATTGTGCAACACTTGTGAAACACTTGTGCAACACTTGCGCATTATTTGTGTAAGACTTGCGCAACACTTGTGCACCATTTGTGCTACACTTGTGTAAGACTTGTGCATCACTTGAGCAACATTTGTGTAAGACTTGTGGAACACTTGTGCAACACTTGTGTAAGACTTGTGCAACATTTGTGTAGGGCTTGTGCAACACTTGTGCAACATTTGTGTAAGACTTGTGCAACACTTGTGCAACACTTGTGGAACACTTGTGCATCATTTGTGTAAGACTTGTGCAACACTTGTGAAACATTTGTGCATCATTTGTGTAAGACTTGTGCAACACGTGCAATATTTGGGTAAGACTTGTGCAACACTTGTGCAACATTTGTGTAAGACTTGTACAACACTTTTGCAACACTTGTGCAACACTTGTGCAACACCTGTGCAAAACTTGTGAAACACTTGTGTAACACTTGTGTAACACTTGTGCCAAACAAATT